GGGCCGAGGGACGGGAGCCGCAGAACCAGAGGAGGTCGGGGGTCCGGGCCCTCCCCGTTCCCATCCAGGCCGGAGTGACAGTGGCGCGCCGGGCCGGCGGGGCCAGCGCCAAGTGGCTGGCGGGCAGCCATGAGGCTCCGGGAGAGCATTTCGGGTGGTTCTTGGAAAGCGCCCGGCTGCCGGGCCCAGCCGAGGGCAGCGCCCCCCTCTTCTCGGCTACATATTTGCTCCAACAAACCGACTGTCCGCGCCCGTGCTCTGCCCCCCCCCCCCCCCCGTCAGCAGGCCAGGGGCCCGGCAGGACCCCGCGGGAACCGGGTCCTGCTCTGGTCCAAGCCCATCTCCACAGCCCGCCCCAGGAGAAAAAGACGACGGGACGAGGCGCTGTCAGGGGTCGCGGGGAGGCCCCAAGCCGGCCGTGATGCTGGGGTTCCGGACCACCCAGTGCTTCTGGAGAATGTTTCTGGCCCCGAGGTCGGGGTCTGGGCAAGAGTCTGGACCCAGGAGTCCTGGGAAGGGCAAGACGCGCGGGTCGGGAGGGGGCCGAGCGGGGCATCGGGGCAAAGCGGGCCAGTGCTGGAACAGGGACCGGTCTGGCCAGCCCGGGGCGGGGGGCAGGGGGCAGCGCAGCGGTGGCGGGACCCCGGGTGTGGATAGCGCCGAGGCTCGTCTGTCTGTCCCCCGGGCAGGGGAACTGAGACCCCCGCCCCGCCCCGCCCCAGGCAGCACCAGGCGACAAAGTCCGAGAATCTTTTTATAAAACACAGGGGGGAGGGGGGGAGAGCTTGCGAAGGCGACCGCGGGACGTGGCTCCGCAGCGAGACGGGGCGCGGCCGGGCTACACGAAGATCTGGATGCGGTCGCGGATGGGCTGGCGGCAGATGGGGCAGGCGCTGAGAGCGGCGCCACACGGCGCGCACGCGCCGTGGCCGCACTGGAACACGAGGCGGATGTGGCTGTCGATGCAGATCGGGCAGGTGATGCGCTCCTCCATCTGCCGGTAGCGGCTCTGCAGCTCCTCCACCAGCTGCCGCGGCGGGCCGGGAGCGGGCGCCGCGCTGGCCACCTCCGTGCCGTCTGCGGACGGGGGTCCGGGTCAGCGGTTCGGGGGGAGCTGCGGGCGGGCGCGGGCCGTGCACGGAGGGCTATGGGCAGAGCGTGAGCGGCGGCAGGGGGCGTGGGCGTGGGGCAACCGCGGGTGGAGGTGTGAGGCGCGAGGCGGGGGCAGGGCCGGGTGGGGTCGGCGCCGAGCCCCGCCCCCCACCGCCCCACCCACCTGGGCGCAGCTTTTTGCCGATGACCGCCTGGCACCTGATGCATTTCTTCATCCTCTGCGCGCACTCTGCGGGGGGAGCGCGCGGTTGGGCGGGGCCGCGCCGACCCGGCCCCCCTGCGCCCCCCGCACTCACCCTCGCACACAGTGCGGTGCTGGCACGGCGAGAACAGCACCAGCAGCGCCAGCTCGGAGCACACCAGGCACTCAGCGGCCTCGGGCCCTGACGGCGCGGCCACGTGCAGGTTCGTCACGGTGTTAGGGGTGCTGAGCACCAGCCTCGGGCCCGGGGCCGCGCCCCCGCCGCCGCCCGCCTGCCGCTCGCTGCATTTGGAGGCGGAGGCTTGAAAGGGTCCGGGGGGCGGGGGTCTGTCCTCCCCCCCCCCCCCCCCCCCGCGCCGGGCTCACCGGAAGCGCTGGGCGCAGCCTTGCAAGGCCTTGAGCAAGGGGCCCTCGCCGGCCAGGTCCACCGGGCTCCGGCCGCGGTGGTTGGCGTAGCTCACGTCGGCGCCCTCCAGCACCAGGAAGCAGGCCACCGCCGTGCCCACCGTCAGCTCCGCGCTGCCCGGGAGGCCTGAGGCCTGTAGCTGGGCAGCAGATGGACTCCGGTGAGGGTGGGCGCCAGGTCAAGCCTCGTGGCCGGACGCTGGCACTGGACTGCCCCGACTCTTGGGGCAGAGCATGGGCACCCCCTCCCTGTCTGAGGCCGCCCGGAAAGGGAGGCAGGCGGGAGTGGTGCCCCTGCCTGGGGACTCCTGGGAGGGGCTGAGTTCCGAGCCACTACACCCTCGACTCCGTCCCATCCCCACTGGGCCCCACCCCCTTTCCCAGGCTGGTCATGAGCGCAGAATCGCAGAGACTGGCCATGTTGTGGTGACGGGGATCACAGAAGATGCCCTCTGCAAAACACAGCCACCCCGGCTGCCCACCCCCAAGAGGGCCTGGCTCCCTGGCCCTCACTGAAGGCGGAGGCGGACAGTTGCTCAGGCCCTGCGTGGAGCCTGCAGCTAGGCAGCATGGCCCACCTCTCCAGCACCCAGATCCACACTTCCTCACCCTGGACAGCAGCTGTAAGGGCCCCGAGTCCCCCCCGGCCCCATCAGCCACGAGAGACAGTAGCCGATGGCGTTGCAGTGCCACGTGCAGGGCCGTGTCCCCCTCCTCGTCCTCGGCATTGACGCTGCAGCCAGCATCCACCAGCAGTGGCACCAGCCCCACGTGGGCCTGCTGCACAGCCAAGTGCAGCGGGGACTGGAGCTTACGGTTTCGAACATTCACGTCACAGTGGCCCTGGGAAGGGGGGTGGGTACAGGCTCAGCCCAGGGACCCCCAGCGGGCCCTACCTCCCCAGCCCCTGGGCTGGCCTGGGGCCTTGTGTCTGCACCTCTTGGATGAGAATCTGGGCGACCTCCCGGTGGTTGTTGAGGGCGGCCAGGTGCAATGCTGTAAAGCCGTCCTCCTTCTTGGCATCCACCAGCTGCCGTGCCCGTCCCAGGATCCTCCTGACGGCTCTGTGGGGGCAGGGAGACGTATCTGGGGTCATGGGCACTCCAGAGTGGCCCAGCAGTGCGGCAGGAGCCTGGCCACTGGCCATGTGCCCATCCCAAACTCACAGCGTATGGCCTTTGAGAGACGCATGGTGCAGCAGGGTAAAGCCCTGGCTGTTGGTGGCAGTAACGTCGATGGCCGGCACCTCAGTGAGGATCTCCACGATGCCGCTGGCGCCGGCGCCAGCTGATATGGCACAGTGCAGGGGTGTGTCAGCATGGGCATCCTGCCAGTGGTGGATCAATGGTCACTCAATGGGCAGGTTACTGCCACTGTCTCCTTGACCCCAGGGATAGGGCCGGGGACCCAGCACTCACAGGCAGGTTGACGTCACAGCCGTGCTCACACAGGACCCTCACTACCTCCAGGAAGCCCCTCTGCACAGCCACGTGCAGCGCTGCGCTCCGGGTGCCATTAAGAGCATTGGCCCCGCACCCTGAGTTCAGGAGCACCTGGGCAGCCTCGGGCTGGTTCCTGACGGGAGAGGAAGCAGGAGGAGTGCTGTGCCCACTGGCTGGACCTGCAGGCCCAGCCCCTGGTGCCCCTGCACAGGCCTTACCCGAGGGCTGCATAGTGCAACGCCGTGTTGCCCTCATCGTCAGGCAGGTCCACGTCTGCCCGTGCCTGCAGCAGTAGCCGCACCAACTCCACCTGACCTAGGTAGGCCGCCACCAGCAGGGCAGTCCTGCCCTGGTTCTTGGTGTCCACCTGCCAGGAGAGCCAGCAGGTCAGCCCCTGGCCCTCTGCCCCTCTCCCTGGGGCTGGCCGGGCGTGGGGAGGTGGGGAGGGGTCACAGGAGCTTGCCTGCTCTGGGTGCCTCCGAAGCAGGTCCAGAGACCGGGCCATGTTGCCCAGGGCCACCTCCACCACCAGCCTCCCTGGGTGCTCCGGGTCAGTCTTCTGGGCTCGAAGCTTGTCCAGTGCAACGCTCAGGGAGCCTGGGGGACAAGGCTAAAGTTAAGAGGTGGCCAGGAGCAGCCCCACCTCCCACTGGCTGCCCATACTGGGTGCCCGCACTTTTGTTCTCCCTGGCACGCTCAGCCACGTCCAGGTTGGCATCCTCCTCAGGTCGGTAGGCCACCAGGCAGGAGGGGCTGAAGGTCCACAGCTGACCACCGACTGCCACACGCAGGTTCCCATCTCCAAAAACCTTCACCACATTCCCAACATGGCCCAGGGCCTGTGTGGGGAGAGGCGGGGGTCACAGACAGGTCTCCCAGGGGTGTGAGGCAGGTGGGGGTGGAGGTAGGGGTGGGGGACTCACAGGGGCCATGTCATCTGTCCACTCCCCGTGCCCGGCCTGCAGCCGCTTCACCGTGTCAAGGTCATCGATGACCCGCACGACATCGCCCACCCAGAAGGAGTTGTGCTAAGTAACAGAGAGACATGTGAGGGGAGACCCCAGGCAGGTGTGGCTGCCCAGGGCTGTGGAGCGGGAGGGCCCCCATCGAGCTCCACAGGACAGGCAGGCCTGAACTTGACCCCAGCCCCTGCTGGAAAGCACAACCAGAAGATCTGGCTGGATGAGGGCCACAAGTGACCAGGGCGGCCCTGGGTGGCCCAGCCCCAGAGCCAGGTGGGTGACAGCTGGAAAGGCAGCCAGGCATCGGCATCCAGACCAGACAAAAGCCAGGTCTGGGGTGGTGTGAAGGCCACAACGGGCCTTCCCTGCACACTGAGCAGGGAGCAGGCAGCATGGCCAAGGCCAGACAGGAACAGAGTGGGGCGGGGCCTGAACAGCATTGGGCAGGGCCCCAGGATGAGGGGGCGTGGCCAAAATGGCATGGGGCGTGTCAGGGGCTGCTCGGTCCCCACCCCCAAACCCTTCTTGGCAACTTCCCACACACCTGCGCTCTCACCTGTACAAGACTCACTCTACAAACCACATGTCTCATGACCCCCCACACCCCCTCCTCTAAGGGGTATCCCGGACTCCAGGTCCAAGCTGAGCACTGGCACGTCCTCTCTGCCCAGGGCCCCCATCCATGGATGCCCACCGCCTGCCTCCTCCATCCAAGCAATCCTGCTTCCCAAACAGCTCTCACCACGCCCACCCCCGCTTCCTCGCCTCACTGGGACAAGCGCCCACCCTGTCCTGACAGGCCTTCCCACACCCACTCACCACTTGCCGCACCCACAGGGAGCAGTTTAGAAAGTAAGCCCAACTACATCCCCTCCCACCTATAACACTTCGGGGGGTTCATTTGGCCCTCAGGATAAACGCTAGTGCCTGGCCTGCTGCCCCAGCCTCCAAGGCTCTCGGTGCCTTGCTCTCCTCTATGTCCCTTCACACCTGGATCCCCTCTTCATGGAACTAATCCCCTTGGGACCCCACCAAGCACTCCCCTCTTCCTTCGAGGCTGGAGGAAGGCATTCAGGGTGGAGCAGGTACACGGAGGGGGGGTGCAGAAGCGAGCAGATGGGGCTCAGCCCAGCCCCCCATGCACCTTGGTGAGAGCCCCAGGGTGGAAGGTCCAGCGGGTCTCATGGCTGAACTGCACACGCACGTCCCCACGGTCCGTGATGCGGTGCACAGTGCCCGTCTGTCCGATAAACTGTGGCAGGTCATGGAGGCTGTGGCTGGGTGGAGCAGGAGGGCTGGGGGTCCAGAGGATGTGGGAGGGGAGGCACGGGGGGCTCAGCAGGTGGGGTGGCTCACCTCCGCCATCCTGGGGTTCCACCCGCCGTGGCCTTCCTGCATCTCCCTCAGGATGTCTGGGTCCAGCAGACACTTAACCTTGTCCCCGTGCTGGAAGGGCTGGCCGTCCGCACTCACCCTGCGCTGCAGCTCTGCCGGCTTGCCTGGGGGCAGGCAGCAGGCCCTGCTCAGGCAGGGTCCCTCCCTCCTCTCCCCTCCTCGGTGACTTCATAGGCCAGCCCAGGCCCAGCGCTGCCGCTGAGGCTCAGCCAGGGCGGATGGGCAGCTGGTGTCAGTGGGGCCAGCCCTACCGAGCCTTGGGAGGTGCTCCTTGTAGTAGAAGCCGCCGGCCGCCTCGCCCACACACTTGAGGTCCACTTTGCCCTTGTGGCCCACACGGTACACATTGGTGGTGCCATCGGCCCACGTCACGCTGGCCACACTCCGACCCGTCTCCACATCCCAGCCACGGATGTCCACCACTCGGCCTGGTTTCCCTTCCCCTCCTGGGGAGACAGTGGCCCCACTGATAGGCTAAGCCAGTGCCACAAGGCTGACCATAGGTGGCAGCCCAGCCCCCACCTTCCCACCCCAGCCCCCCACTCACCGTCCTGTGAGCCCCACTCCCAGTCGGGGCCCCGTACCACCTTTGCCCCCTGGAAGATGCCCCTCAACGGGATCCTTGGGAGGCCCTGGCGGGGACTCAGTGTTACCCTGCAAAAGAGTGAGTGGGTCCCGGGCCATGCGGGATAGTGGTGTGACGATGATGCAGGCCCTCTGCTCTGCCCAGCCTTGTCCTTCCCCCTACCCCCTCACCCCCTGCTCCCACTCACACCTGGCTGGGGTCTGCCAGATGGGGTCCCAGCTCCACCCTGGGACAGCTGGCCCAGCAGGTCAGTGCCCTCCACACTCTGGGCCTGAGTCTGCTGACTGTCCCTCCAGGGGACCTTCCCTGATGCCAGGTTGGGAGGGCACCCCCGGCCCACCCTCACAGCATGGCCTGTGTGCGCGGTCACTCCACATCTGCTGCCTCCCAATGGGCCAGGCGCCCTCTGTTAGGGCTGTCCCCAGATCTCGGAGCATGGCCAGGCCCAGGGGAGGGTTCAGCATGTGGGAAATGGAGGAATGAGGAACGTAGGCTTGGCTAGAGGTACGCAGACAGCTGATCCCTGTTCCTACTCTGGCCAGTGGGCAGCTGGGATGTAAAGCACACACCTCCCCTCCACGTGTGTGGGGAGTGTCAAGGAGACAAAGGCAACAGTGCAGGATATAGGGGGTGCTCCTCTGGGTGCCCACCCTAGCCCGGCAGACTCCTGATCCCCCCTGACCACAGCAAAGGAGCCTCCCAGCCAGGCCAACAGCACCTCCCCAACTGTGTCTAGGGGCTGGCTCCCAGCGTGGGCTGCCCACTGCCAGACCCGGGGCCTCCATGGGGAATGCCACCCTCAGTGCCTGCACCATGGCTGCACTGGGGAGCCACGCCTGGCCCTAGGGGTGGTCCCAGGAGAGAGGAGCCCCATCTACAGCACCAACCTCTGCAGACCTGCTCAGTGGACATGGTTGCCTTCTGCTGGGAGTAGGGGCTGGTGTCAATGCCCAGGCCCCTGAAGTGACCATGACCCTGGTCTTGGGAAGGACTTGACCTGCACCCTGGGGAGTGGTTGGCAGGAGGCAGCCCCCGTCCTCTGGGGCCACGGCCTGGTCGGGTGTCGGAGGTGCTTGTCATGAGGCCCTGGATATCACCAGGTAGGACCCAGTGCTGCCAGGGTCCCGGCCATCTGCACCCACACCTTGTGACCAGCACAGGGCTGCAGGGGTGGCAGCAGAACTCACGGGCGCGAGTGGGCTGTCTCGTAGCGCTCGAAAGCGTGGGCCAGGTCGTGCTTGCTGTGCATGTAGCACTGCGTGCAGAGGTCGTAGTCGAAGCAGACGCGGCACTTCCAGCGCATGCCCCGCAGCCCATGCTTCTTGCAGCAGTCACAGATGATGTTGGGGTGGCGGACGCCTGGGGGCGGGGCAGGGTCAGGGAGGGTGGGCGCCCCGCCCCCCGCCCCGCCCCGCCCCCAGGACCGCCGCCGCACCGATCTGGGCGTTGTCGTAGAGCAGCAGGTCGTGCGCGCCCTGGTAGCCCGCGCGGTAGTTGGTGCGGGTGCCGTGGTCCCACTGCACGACTACCGTGCGGTCGGGGGTCGAGGGGCTGCCGTGGCGGCCGAGCTCCACCACTGTGCCCACGCCGCCCTCGCCGCCATCCTGCTGGCCCCACTTCCAGTCCACGCCACGCACCACACGCATGCCCACCTGCACGCCCGCCTGGGGGTCTGGGTCCATGGTAGGCAGGACTGCTCCAGGACCTGCAGGCAGAGGGCGCCCTCAGGCCACGTCAAGAAGGCCACCCGGGCTCTCCGCGGTGGTTCGGGAGGGCTGCCAGGGAGAGGGATGGAACAGGTCCGGGAGAGCTAGGCAGGGAGGGGAGGGGGGCAAGTGCGAATGCCCTGGGGCAGGGAGGAGCTGGTGAGCATGCCTGCTAGAGGCTGAAGGAGGCCCCCTAGGCCACTTGCCAGCAGCAGGAGAGACCCACCATTCAGAAGGTGGAGGTGGCACCCGTTCTGGAGGGAGGGTGGGACACCTCTTTGGAAGGCGCCTCCAGCCGCTATGAGACCCTGCCCTAGAATGAGCTGGAACGGAAGTGGGAGGCAGTCCTTGTGAGAGGACAGTGGACCGCCAAGGAACCAGGGACAAGACCTGGCCGGGGCTCCCTCAGCAAATGCCCGCAGAGGGTCTGCCCGTGGTGGGAGATGGGTTCTGGGTGGCTGGCACACAGTGGCCATCAATACCTATTGCAGGGGGTTGCAGAGGTCAACATGAGATAACACAACAAAGCTTTCAGAAGAAAACAGACTGTGCAGCCAGTTGGTAAGCCGGACTGCACTTCAGGTAAGAACTGCTGTTCATCAAGACACCATTCCAGGATGAAGGGGCAGCGGCACCCGAGACAACCAACACACTCACCCCTCGAAGGGCTCGTGTCCCGAGCATGAGAGAACGCCCACAGATCCACACTGACGAAGCAGACAGCCCAGCAGAAGACGGCGCAACGCTGGGACGGGGGCCAACAACTCACGCACACACGGGGTCTGGTCACCAGGCCGCTGCTCACGGGTGTGACTACACTCACGGCCCCGCAGGTGGGTGGACAGTACCATGAGGTCACTCTGGCCCCACCGCTGGGGCCTTCTCTGGAGAACCATGGCCCTGCGCTCCAGGTATGTACTAGATAGAGGTGATACACATGCTCACAGCAGCGCCCTCCCCCGTGTCCTCAAGGGTGAACTGGGTCATGAGATGTGGTTCACCCCCAAGGGAGCAGGAACCACCACATACAGGCAGCAGCAGTTGGCAGGTGAAGCTCAGGGATAGACGCTGAAAGAAAGGAGCCACATGCCCGCTACCTGACTCCATTTATAGAAAGTACACAGACAGGACAAGCAAATCTAGGGCGCTGGAGCCAGGGAGGCAGTGGCGGCGGAGGTCACGGGGGGCTCTTGGGCCCGGGGAACGTGCTATTTCCTGATTTGGGTGCAATTACATACATGTTCACTTTGCAAACTTGGGTCACTTATGACCTGTGCCTCTCTGTATGATGTGATTCTTCAACAAGGTTTTTTAATGACACGAATGGATTTGAAAGACAGTTAAGAGGAAAAATCAGCAGGACTTGAAGCGGGAGAGGGCTCAGGGACTCCTGAATTTAAGAGAGCGATCACCACTCCATTTTCGGGAGCTGTGCCTGCAGAGTGGAGCAGGATCTCACACAGCCTGGACCCTGTGGCTGGGGAAGAAGCTGGCCCAGGGTGCTGCCCAAGGCAGGGCTGGGTGTGAATCGGGCAGCCTAGCTCCAGAGCTCCTGGGAGGCTGGAGGGAGACCCTGAGGCTGGCTGGGGAGCAGCTGAAGCAGGGAGGGGATGCTGCCAGCTGAGGCCCTGCCAGCTCCAGGTAGGGCCCTGTGGCCCTGTTCAGCTACAGGACACTGAGGCCATCCCAGGGCCTGGCCAATGACAAGGAAGGAAAACCACACGCCACTACTCCACCAGGACCCTGCCCCACCCCCAGCCCGACACAGCATCCCAGGCCTGGCCAGCTCAGGAGACGCCTTGGCCCAGCTGAGGCTGCAGGTGGGCCGGGAGGAAGGCCAGGCTTTAACCCCCAACTCCCACTCCGGCCAGCAGCCAGGGCCCCACCCCGTGGGTCTAGTGATGTCTACCCTCCGCCCAGCCCCACTCTGAGGCCTACGTCCAGCACAGGGTGGGCAGGGGAGACACACAGCCCACAGGGCTGGGCTTGGTCTGTGCCCAGCCCGAGTGTCCAAGCGAATGACCCCCTCACATCCACAGGGGTATGAACGGCTCGGCCAGCTTGGCCTTCTGCAAATTCTCCTCCCCCGGGCAGGATCCCCATGGTGGCTTCTTCCTCACCCCGCCTAGGACCTCCAGGGCTGCCAAAGAAACAGGTGGACGTTCTGAAAGGATGAAACTTCCCGGCCCGGTGGCTATTTAGGAGGCTGTTCTCAGAGAAACTCCTCATTGCTCATTCATCCAGATGGCCTCACCTCCGGGGCCACACTGCCTCCCTCTACTGTCACCTCTCAGCTGCCCTCCCCTCTGTGGTCTCCAGACCCTGCTAAGATGGGGCACTGAGGCCTGAAGCCACAGCAGGCTACAGCACCAAGGGCTTCTTCATCCCTCGACAGAGCACAGCCAAGCCCAAATCTGGCACAGCAACAATGCCCACATCAAGAACGACCACGTGAGAATGCCATACGAAAATGCCTGTGACTCTTTGATGCTGGTGAGCCCCAGACAAGGGGAGGGGTCCTGTGGGCTGCCACCTTGGCAGTCAGGTATGGCGGGCCATCCACCTGTGGCCTCAGCCTCCTGCCTGGTGCCTCCCCATCAGTAGCTGCCACAGGTGTCAGACTCAGACAAAGCAGCACAGCCTGAGGGCTGGCCCTTAGGGCAAAGGCCCCACCCCACCAGGCTGCTGACCCCCACCAGATCCACACATGCCCTCCTTCCTGCCAGGAGCCCACCAGAACTGGTCACAGCAGGTGGGTCGTGCTGAGCCACCCCTCCCTCTTCCCAGATGCTCCTGTTGAGCGTCAGGTAGCCAGAGCGGGCCTCGTTCCAAGCAACCACAGACCCAAACAAGTGTGGGCAGACAGGCCCAACTAGAGGTTTCTGCTAGCAGGAGCAGCCCGTCTGCAGAGCCCAGAAACTGGCCCCATATCAGGATAACAGACTCAAGGCAGGCAAGGACCCAAGCCCCATGAACCGGCGGTGTGGTCCTTCTGTGACCAGGATGGCATGCCCTCTGTCTGTGAGCCCAACCTCTCAGCCTACCTCGCCAGCCGCCACACCTGCCTGCCTGCTGGCCTATGGATCCACTGGCTACATGCTGCGGGATGGTCTCCAACAAGACACGGTGGGAGCGGGGGGCACGCCAAGCAGGAGAGCAAGCATGGCTTGTGCCCAGCCCGGCCCTCAGGAAAATGGGCAGAGATCGGAGAGAGTGGGATGGGGGATGCCCAGCAGGGTCTGTGGGAAACCAGGACCAGGCCTCAGCTGGCGACGGCTCCATGCGAGCAAGAGGGTAGGGTCACCAGGGCAGTCCAGCCTGTGACAAGAGGCACGCCTGACCAGCACCTGTTGCATTCATACCCGATATTTTTAGCATGGCCAGAGAGCTCTCCTCCAGCCCTGGCCAGCAAACCACCACCCTCCCCAGGGCTGTCCCTCACAGGAGCCCACCAGCCCACATGGACACAGCTAGGTGGGGTACGCTGAGCCCTGGGCCTCCTCCTGCCCCTCACCTCTCGTGCGCAAACCAGCACCCGTTGAGGAGGATGGTGGAGAACAGAGGAGCGTCCCAACCTGGTGGCACCCATGGCCTGGGAAGCCTCCTTGTCACCTCCCCTCTGGCACTCCATCCCCAGAGGTCTTGGGGTCTGCCCTCTGCTTCAGTGACTCCATCCAGCGTGGTGTCACCCGGCTCAGGCCTGAGCAAGGCCTCCAGCAATGCCTCCCTGCTGCCCCCTCCTACGTATTTGCCATGGGGACAGGCACTTGGCTCCCACGCCTCAGAAGCGCCTCGGCACAGCATCCTGGGACCCTCGTGAGGCAGGCTAGGTGGCTTTCCAGGCCTCTCGTCACTTCCCTCCACCCACCTCCTCGCCTGGTCTTTGTCAATGTCATCCCCGGGGCCCAGGACATGGCCAAATGTGCTCCATGTGACATCAGGCATCAGGGTTCACTACGTCACCTCAGAAGGCCCCACAAGGGTGTGTGGGGAGGGGCTGGCAAGTGGGGAATGGACCGGGGTCAGGAGCAGGGAGGCAGTGATGAAACCCAGAGGGGCAAGGGAGGAAGGGCACCCCCATGTCAGTGGGAAATTCACCCAGAGAGTTCCTTCTTTTTCTTCCTTGGCCAGAAACGCTGTACTCTGCCATCTTCCTCAGAGTTTAGAGGTCCTACCCCTGGCTGGCACCCAAAGCCCCACAGAGGCTGTCACTGCAAATGTTTAAATGACTCTGAGGCAGTCGGGGTGTGAGGACTCGGGCGACAGGTGCGCTTTAGCAAAATCAGAACTTACCTTAGAATGCACACCAGCCTTGCATCAGCATCCCGGACATCTAGCTGCTATTTCCTGGGTCACAAATTTGCTCAGCCACCAAGATTTCCTGTGGGAAACCAGCACCCATTGCCAACACAGAACACAGCAAACCAAACAGGTAGCCAGCCAGCAAGTCTGGGGAAAAATGGTTTTTGAAAGGTAGTTTTATGCTTTTAGCGTTTACCATCTCAACCAAACAAGTGGACGTCTGGCTCTGCTCTGTTAGTTACTAGTTTCTCTTTTCACAAGAAACTGCCAGCTCTTGGAGGGTAGAACTATTTCCAAACCACACATTGGGCCAGCATAGAAATGAGCTGTTTCCCCTATTTGTGAATATTTTATTGGAAAAACTTTAAAAAGCCATAAAGATTAAATCACATTTAGCTAGAAAGTTGGCAAACTGCCTTTATTCAGAAGAATGAACTTGTGTGTGACCGAGACTGCACCGACATGAGGCTGCCACTCATTCCCTTGCAGCTCCGGCTGGGCCTGATGCTGCTCTCTGAATCGACACCATGTGTGGCATAATCAGTCGGCAAAATTTGGTGAGTCACAGGCTCCTGTCAGGTGGCAGCTCTGACTAGGGCAAAGGTGAACATCCTGGGTGCCTGGGGGTCTCGCCCATTAGGGACTGGGGTGAAGCCCTTTGACGAGGAGCCCAGGAAACCTGGCTTGGCCCAGCATGAAGACAACTGCTCGGGGAAGGCCCAAAGGATGTACAGGGCTGTCACCACCCGAATCTTGGCCACCCAGACAGAAGCCCTGCAGGCACCCCTGCAGACTGGGGTGTCATGCTATTCAGATACTTGTTGCATCTCGGGCACAGGCCCGAGTGGAATCGTGAGAGGAGGGGACTGGCCAGGAAGAGCAGGATTTGCGGGCTTCCACGCTCAGGCTGCCTCCTCCCCAGCCCCACTGGTGCCCCCCAGGAGCCTGTCTGGCACCTTTGCTTATTTCCTCAATTGGTTCTGAACTCAGAGGAGGAGAGGCAGGATTATTTATCCCCCATCCCCCCAATACACACACACACACACACACAAGCTCAAAAACAAGCAAAACCTTTCTGATATGGCATCACAGAATCCACAGGGCACAAGCGCCAAACACAAACCATCGCGCCACAAGCCCATCCAGAGCTCACCTGTCTGGCCGTCCAGTCGCCCCCTGCCCGCCTTGAGACTATTAGGCTGCAGCCCAGATGCCCGCAGACTAGGGCACTGGCCTCCAGCCTCGCTAAGCTTCAGCGCCAGCCCTGAGCCATCCAACCCTGTGGCGGCGGGGAGATGCAGGACGCACAGTGAGCAGCTCCGACGGGACCGCGGCGGCCGGGGCTCGCCTGCCTGCTTCCGGGGCTGCCCTCTGTCTACACGCGCATCCCCGGGCCCGACGCGCAGAACCCCGAGGGGCCGGCCTCTTGCCCTGCAGGCTCCCGGGGTCTGGCCGTCCCGCGCCTGCCGCAGTCACGGTCTGCGGCCGCCTGGACTGGGCCGGAGGGCCGGCGGGCTGGCACTGCAGACGTCAGGGCCCCGCGCTGCGCCCTGGGCACGAGCGCCCGGCGCGCGGGGGAAGCCGGGCAGGCAGGGCCGGGCTGGACACGGCCGGGTTGGACAGGGCACTGCCCGCGCCCGCCCCCGGACCTGACCCCCGCCTCACTCGCTCGGGTCCGCCCTGCCCCCTGTCATTCCACCGCCTTCCTCTGGAGGCCGCCCCGGGCCCCCAGTCGCTGCCAGACCCCTGTCCCGGCTTGGGTGCCCCCGCGACCCTCCACTTGCCCGGAAGTTTGCGTCCCCCCGCTCGGCACTCGACTGGGGCCTGAGGAGCGCCGAGTCTGTCAGCCGGCCGGCCGAGCGGCCTCGGTGCGTGCGGGGACTGAGCCGCAGCTCCTCGGCTGCTCAGCGCCGGCTTGCCAGCCAGGCCAACCCGCGCCCGCGCCCACCGGCCCAGTGGCCCGAATCCCCCAGCACCCGGGACTCCTAGGGCTGCCGCGGGGCCTGCCGGGAGTTGTAGTCCGTAGCCCGCCGGGACAGCAAGCAGGGGACGGGACCGAACCACAACTCCCAGGAGGCCCCGCGACGGCGTGACGCAGGCGGCTGGAGAGGGCGCTGCGGGCGCTAGGGAGAGAGAGAGGGAGGGAGCCCCGCGCCCGGACGGCGATGGGAGCGCCTCCTGCCCTGCCTCCCCGGGAGGGGCTCGGGCTGGGTTCTGCGCCGCCGCGGACGAGGGCGTGTTCGCGTCGGACAGCGTATGATGCACGTCGCCACAGGGCTGCGGGCTCCGGGGGCCTCGGCAGGCCTCTCACCACGCCGGCGCTGGGGGGCGCGGGGCCAAGCAGCGTGAGCCTGGACGAGAGGGGGCCAGGCTCCTAGTCCAGGTGGGCGCGGGGACACTGCGTTCCCGTCACGGGCCACGGAGTACCGAGCACGCGCAAACCAGGCGGCCGGAGTCTGCGGGGCAGGCTCGGCCAGCACACGGACGCCGCGGCCACGCCCCCGCCGGGGAGGGGCGGGCCCGGCACCGGAAGTGCGTCAGTGGGCGGGGTCGGAGCGCGCCGCTCCGCTCTCCCTGCTTGGCGCAGCTGGGCTCGGAGACGCTTTCCGTTGCCGTGGAGACGGCGACGGGCGTCCGTCGGCGGCGTGATTGGCTGGGCCCCCGGGACGCGGAGGTGAGGCGTCGTTCGGCTTGATTTAAGAGCGAAGTAACACCAGCACGTGGTTTTAATGCACGCAGAACGGAAGATTACAGTGAGAAACATGGTCCCCTGCGGTTCTCCGCAGAGGCGGGTATTGTCAACCCTTCTAGCTTTTCCTCTGCCGGAGACCTCCATGTTTCTAAACCGACTGCTGGTTTTCGGTGTGTTCATTTTAGACATTGCTGTGGACTTCCGATGAGGTCGATGAGAACCTGGCTCTCCACACAACCCCCTGACTGTTGGATCCAACCAGCTGTCGGTATGTTTATTTCAGGACGCGACTCGCTGTGCGCTTTTATGCGCAGCCAGGCATCCGTTCCTGTGCAGTCTTTTATTTTCTCTTGAGTTAATACTTACCTAGTATTTTCCTAATGCCTAGATTTTTACTAACCCATAGCTATTTTTTTCCCCAAAGGCTCTAACATCTTTGCCACATGCTCATCAATAACATTTTCCAAAGGTTCAAGCACATTACTGCTACTTAATCCCTGGAGACGTCTCTCCCAGAGCCCTCTGTCCTCCTGGTCCCATCTAGACTGATGGCTTTCTAACCCCATTGCCTAGCTCTCTCCTTGAGCTTTTCCCTGCTTTCGTCGTTGTGACTCTCCTTGCCTTTCCCGTGTGTTGATTCTGTGTTTCCTGGAATCTGTGCTATCTCCCTTCTTGGTTTACTCTCTAATTTTGCTGAAGTCACTCCTTTGGTAGCTTCCTGGAAAGTTGCACGTCTGAAATGTTTTTAGTCTACTCTCATCTTTGATTGATAGCTTGGCAGGGTATAGAATTCTAGGTGGGAAATACTTTTCCTTCAAAATTTTTGAAGTCGGTTTTTTGCTTTCAGCTTCCAGGGCTGCTGTTGAAAAGTCCAATGCCATTCTGATTCCTGATCATTTGTGTGTGAACTGTTTGTTCCTTCTGAAAGCTTCTGGGATCTTCTCTTTATCCCTGGTGTTCTCAAGTGGCACAATGATACACCTTGATGTGGGCCTTGCTGTGCTATGCACACAGTGGTTCTCTTCATCCTAGAGGCTCGTGTCCTTCAGTTTGGGAACTTTTTAAAGAACATCCCCCTTCCGTTTCTTGTGTTCTTTCTGATGGGATTCCTATTAATCAGATTCCAATTGGACTTGGACTATTCCTATAATTTTCTTTTCTCACTTAGTGTTTACCTCTTTTTCTGGCAGATATCCTTAAATTTACCTTCCATCTCTTCTGTTGTTTAGTTAAACTCTGTGATGTTGTTATTTATAATAAGAAATATACATTTGCTCTTTGTCCCCAGTTTCTGACACAGAGCTCCCAAAAACCGTTGAATTTCCTAAGTGAAAAGAGTCATCAGGCTGTATTTTGATATTCATAACAAGCCTCTTTCAACCACACCTGAGTTTATGTTAATAAAGTACTTTTTGGAAAGCCGATAAAGATGGGGGCGGGTTGTGGAAGGGGAACCAACCATGTGATTAGAGGGTTGGAACTCTCAGCCTCACCCCCTGACCTCTAGGGAGGGGAGGGGGGCTGGAAATTGAGTTCAGTCACCAATGGCCAATAATTTAATCAATCATGCCTAAGTAAGGAAGCCTCCATAAAAAAAACAAAAAGGGTGGGGTTTGGAGAGCTTCTGGTTGGTGAACACGTGGACATGTGGGGAGAGTGGTGTGCTCGGAGAGGGCAGGGAAGCTCTGTGTCCCCTCCCCATACCTTGCCCTATGCATCTCTTCCATGTGGCCATTCCTGAGTTGTATCCTTTTAATAATAAACTGGTAATCTATTAAGTAAACTTTTTCTGAGTTCTGTGAGCTGCTCTGGCAAATTAATGAAACCTGAGGAGAGAGCTGGAGGAACCTCCAGTTTATAGCTGGTCAGTCAGAAACACAGATGACAGCATGGACTTGCCATTGGCATCTAAAGTGTGTGGGAGTGTGTCAGTCTTGTAGGACTGAGCCCTTAACTTGTGGGATCTGATGTTCCCTCCAGGTAGATAGAGTCACAATTTAATTAAATTAGAATCTTGTTTTGTTCATGAAGTAGAAGCATTGAAAGGGTTGGAGAAGTGTTACAGGAAAGGTGGTGACATGGGTGTTCTGGAACAAGAGCGGGACATAAGTAATCTTGCTGCTATGCCTCCAAGCTGTAGCCTGAGTCAACCCAAGTCAAATAAGTTTTAAAAGTCAGGATGTAGGCTCAAGGAAGACAGCCTTGGCAGCAATGGCCCTTGAACCAACCACAGTGGTTGCAATCACTCTAGTACCAACAGCATCCGAATTGAGTGGGCTGCCCTGGCTCAAGCTTGGATTGACTAAAGAGAAGCTTCAGGACAGCAAAGCATGTTCGACAACAACTAGGAATGATGCCAAATGGACGAGACACATCTACAAGGGGAACTGGTCCAAGCAATCATGGGAAATTTCAAGGGGATTCAGACTTTCACAGAAGTGGCAACCTGAATGGGGAATGCTTCAGCGACGCCCACACACGCTCCAGATCACCCATGGATGCCATCAAGCCCAGGCCCAATTGACACTGTTCTTCCTTCTGAAGATAGCAACAGTCAGGACGGTGGGGAATTTACCCTTGACAACAGCATATATTTAACCAGAACCATCACAGCTTTGGTGGACCACCTGGTAATTCTGCAGTGGGGCCAGTGAACCAGTTTGCCTGTCAGCATGGGGCTGCTTTTGGCCCACCACAAGGTGGACTTCATCCTCCTTATTGGCAACCAGGACCCCAGGACCCCTGGCACCTCCCCAGAATCGAAGAGGAAGGCCACCACCATTCAGGGATCGGCAGCATTCACCTATTGCACTTCCCGTGAATCAGGAGCCTCCACAAATTGATGCAGTAAAATGCAGAATTTGTCCAGCTTGGATTCGAGAAGGTTTTGAAAAAATGGGACATGAAAAGTAGAAGTTGGGGAAAGAAAAAATGGAACCACAACGTTCACAATTGTCCAAAAGAAAAAGAAGTCCACAGAAGATGCTGAAGGAGGAGGTGGCCCTCATTCACCTCAGAGAAGGAAATTTGACAGTGACGAGGAAGATGAAGACACTGAAGACGCTGGGGCTGCAAGCAGTGCGAAAGCCATCAGAAGTCCACTCCAGGGGCCTGCCCGGTGGCACAAGTGGTTAAGTGCGCATGCTCTGCTCCAGCGGCCTGGGGTTCACGGGTTCGAATCCTGGGCGTGCACCGATGCACCGCCGTTCAAGCTGTGCTGTGGCGGCGTCCCATATAAAGTGAAGGAAGATGGGCACGGATGTTAGTCCAGGGCCAATCTTCCTCACAAAAAAAAAAAAAAAAGATACTAATTGTGTTATAGCCCACGTGTTGGATGATTAAAGAAGCACTTTAAAGCAGACTTAATAACTATGTTCACTGAAATAAGGGAAAATATGCTTATAATGAACAAAAATGTAGGAAATCTCAGCAGAGAAATAGAAAATGTTTTTGTAAACAAGCCAAATGGAAATTTTAGAACTGAAAAATACATCTGAAATTAAAACTTTACTAAATAGGCACAATAGAATGGAAATGACAGGAAATAGTTGGTGACTTCAAAGACAGATCAATAGAAATC